ACACAATTAATGCTGGACTATACTTGTCATAGCCTACAAACACCCCCTTTTCACACCTTGAATCCAGCTTCTTCTTATCCTGCTTATATACATAGCATTTGGAGCCAAAAATCTCCATTTTAGAGAGGTCAGGTATTTTTCCAGTGAAAACATAATAAGGTGTCTGCTCTAGACGCTTACTGTAACACCTATTGCGGATTTGAGCTGCTGTCTGTACAGCATATGTCCACAATTGCTTTGGGAGGTTACTCTCCAATAGCATGCATCGTGCCATCTCAAATAAGGTTCTCCAACCTCTTTCGGCAGTTCCATTCTGGTGAGGCGAGTAGGGTGCACTAGTCTCGTGCCTTATCCCGTTACTCCTAACTAGAGTCTGGAACGCCTGCCCGGTAAACTCTGTACCGTTATCTGACCTTATGCACTTTATTGTTCCATATGGAGCGACATCTGCTATGAATTTCTCTGCGACTTTTGTTGTGTCACTCTTTGATTTGATGAAGTATGTAAAAATCATCCCACTATAATCATCAGTAAATGCTATTGCATATCTGTGTCCATCTTTATCGGCTGGCTCTATAGGGCCGCACAGGTCTGTGTGCACTAGCTGCAATACAGCTGTAGCCTTAGCGTCTGCTTGTTTGTTTCTGTTTTGTGTGAATTTTCCCTGTGTGCATATTTCACAGTTTTGGTTGGACTTGTCATGTTTCCCTTTAATTGACATCCCTTCAACCACCTTTTCTAATCTTGAAATATCATCAAAATTACAATGACCAAGAATCCTATGCCAGGTTTGAATGTCATGACATCCATACACCTCATCAACATTTTCATCTTCCACTGTGCTAAGATAATACAGTCTACTATACACATCCATTTTGAACTTTGTACCATCCTGGTGGACCAGCCAGTTATTACCGTCTTTGAAGTGTAGCTCTGCTCCGTTGGCTGTTGCTGATTTGACGGAAAAAATGTTTTGTGGAAACGACGGAATGAAGAGCGCTTGCTTGAGCCTTGTCTTGACTCGACGTCCCTCGCTGTTCAGCAAGCAAACTTCGGCGTCTCCTCTCATCTTCGCCATCCCGCTCACCTTGGTCCCATCGGCAAGTTCAATCATGTGGTCCTCAGGTCTGAAGCTCTCATCAACTGTCTTGAACTTTGTGGCGTCATTTATTAGGTGTGTTGTGGCGCCACAGTCAACCATGGGGCCCTTCTTGTTCCCTTTTTGTGGAGGACAGTCACTTAACTTAAAGAAACAGAAAGATGTAGGTTCTGTGTAACCATCTGCCTCCCCATTGGCTTTCTTTATATGGTCACGGCCTCGTCCTCGCCCGCGTCCTCTTCCTCGATGTGGTGTGTCCCATTTCCGATCCTCTCTTCTTGTTTGGGATTCATCAGGACATGTCCTGGCCATGTGTCCCTTTTTCCCACACATGTAACACTCGATATTTGACAGGTCCACTTTCTTTCCTCTTCCTCGTGATCTCGTTGCCCCGCTAGCTCTCATCACATTATCTTCTTCTGCATCCACATCAGTCTTCCCATATTTCTCTGTACTCTCATAACTGCGCAGTTTCGTTTTAAACTCGCTGAACGTTACAGTGTCATTTGTCTGGGTTACGTGCACGACGAATGGCTTGTATGAGTCAGGTAGCCCCTTTACTACCATGGCTATCTGAAGCCCATCACTTATCTGTTCGTCTGCTCTTCTTAATGACGTGAATATAGTCTCTGCTCGAATAATGTAGTCAGTGACCGTTTCATTTCTTGCTTTATGGAGCGAGGAAAGTTCACAGTACAAACTCACAACGCGGGGTTTGTCCTTTCCCGCGTAGTGCTCACGAAGAATCTCCAGCGCTGCTCTTCCATTACGTCTTGCGTCTCTCATTATCAATGACAAACTCTTGTTGTCCAGACATTGCACAAGCTCTGCATATGCCTCACCGTTCTTTGCCTCATCTTCCGCGAGAGCAGCATCGTCGTGCTCATCTATTAGCGGGTCTTCCAAGATAATGTCTCTTAGTCCGCGTAACTCCATGTGTGCAAGAAACCGCGTTTCCCAGAGTTCGTAGTTTTTCTCATCACCGTCAAATAAAAGTCTAAACCACCATTGGCCTGGATGACTGGGCCCATAACCTGTAGCGTTTGCCATTTCTGCAGCAGTCTAACGCTTTACCAGTCACCAATGTGGTCAGTTAGCACTTTCTATTCACGGGAGAAAACAAGACGCCATCATCACTCTGATGCACGAACTCACGGCACTATATTTTATTGCGCATGCACACAATAACAAACTAGTGCACGCAGGCACATAACATCACCACGTACACTATTTAACATGGCTTTGCTTATTATATCAAATATGCTTAACAGTGTGATTTGTTGTAGATGGGGACCTTGTTATTATGGCCTTGGCCGAGGAATGTGAGATAAGAGTGCAGGTCGTGAATCTTGCAGGTCGTGAATCTTGCGAACTGCCATGCCTCCGAATTTGCGGTAGCAAAGGACCGCTTCAAACCCAAACAGGAGGATCCCCACCACCAAAATGCCAAAGATATATACGTCTTCCGAATCTTCAATAGACAGGGTCGACAGACAGAGGGGCTGAAACTTGTTCCAGCTGTCAAGAGTATACCCCGCAGGTGAAGTCCCGTCCGGGCACACGGGCTCCCCAGACCCTCGCTTACGTGTTGAAAAGATAGAATCAATTGCGTTGAGGGACCAGTTAATCATTTCCATTCTGTTAAAGTTGTCTGTGGCAAAACTCCAGGAAAAAAGACAAAAACAGGAGATAGCAAGCAGTCAGAAGCAGGAGCGGTCTGAGACACGTCTTTGCTCGACGGAGGCGGAAGAAGAACTCCAGCCAAAAGGTATTTGATCTATTACAATCGCTTTATGCAAAACCACTAAGCAAAGCTCAATTGCGAAGCCATTTTTTTAACTGCAAACAGAGAAATGATGAAGGTGTAGACGCTTACATCTTACGCCTCCGTGAGCAGTTTAAGAAATGGCAAGAACAGGATGGGGCGGAGGCTGCAGACGATGACGATTTGCTGCTTGACCAATTAATGGTAGGTTTAAAAAAGGGCCCCATTAAACAAGAACTGTGCAGGCAAATGCGCCGAGAAGGACATATGACTTTTAAAAATGCTTGTAAAGAGGTTAGGGCACTGGCATCTGAGTACGATGAAGAAGATGCTTTACAGCAGGGGTGCTCACACTTTTTCAGCATGCGAGCTACTTATAAAAGGATCAAGTCAAAATGATCTACCTACTACTAAAATGCAAATGATATATTTATTTCAAAAAATATTCTTTATATCTACAATGTATGTTTATGTACATGCAAAACCGCATGAGCCAATATAGCACAACACAACACAATTACCTATGTAAATTTTTTGTCATTACCCGAGTTTACTCTTATGACTTGCACTGAATTGAATCGGCCAGGGATGCATAGTCCGGGAAATTGGTGGTAACTAGCTGACAAGTTTGTCGTGGTTTAGCTTTCCTGCACTGAGCGCGGTTGTTTGCGCATGTTTGCGCATGTGCAGTAAAACATTACTGAGTAAAACACAGATGTCATTTGACTGTGGGGCCATGTCCATGTGCCATGCCTGTTTTTTTTAAATCCAAATATTTCCCCTCCTCAGTTTATAAAATAATTTGCATCCACACATCTGCGTTATCAATCACATTCGTAACATTCCAAACATGTGCGTCTCTTACGTCCTGTCCTGCGTTGGGGAAAAACACGGAAGTGGGCGGAGCTTTGATGCAGACGCGTAACGGCAACGTACCGGCACTTTTACAGTCATAGAAGACACTCAGAGTAAAGAGTAAGACGTATGTTTACAAGCACTGACCCCGTCCTCAGCCCTGGTTTAGTCCTGGTTTGGTTGTTTTCGAGCGTGAGTCCCCGCGATCACTTTGCTGCTCTCTGATGTGGAGCGAGGATGTTCGCTGCTGCGAGCCTCTCACAGCGAACAGTTTTTAAGGTAGTATGATCCATGCTTCAGTGATCAGAGGAATTTAGGGGGGTACTGTGGCGTGCGAGAACACAAAACTCTGGTTATCTCTGTCTACACACAAATGCATTAACGGATTTTTCAAAAATCTCCACTTTGCCCGGAGTTTTTTGTATATATTCGTTTAGAATGTGTAATTTTTTATTTATTTAATGCGATCTACCAATACTACCTTTGCGATCGACGTATTGAGCACCCCTGCTTTACAGTCTAATAGGGTAACTTACGCTCCACAACAAATAGTAAATTTTGACCATGAACATTTAAAGACTCTGATAAAGGCTGAGCTGAAGGAAGAACTTTTTAAGGACATTAAAATCGAGATGGAAGAACAACTTAAAACGCTCTCTTCTGGCCTTATATCAGAAATTAAGGCACAATTTTCCAACCATCAACAGTCTGCTGGGACTCCTACTGGCCAAAGAGCAAGACCCCAAAGCCGGTCTGTATAGGCACACCCTTTAAGTGGGACCCAGAGGGTAGGCCCATTTGTGTGAACTGTGGGGGGGCTGGACACACTCAGCGGTGGTGTCCCCAGAGGCTTCAAAGGTCTCAGGATTTTTGACTCTCCCTGCTGCTGAGGGCCAAGCAGTGGGGACAGTTCAGTTGGGGGCAGAACCTGAAGCCAGTGCTCCACCGGCCTCAAAGTCTGCCTTAATTGGTGAGTGCCCTGATGTTTTGATTAAGATGAATAACCAGACTATACCTTTTGTTCTAGACACGGGATCCCAGGTCACCTTGGTCAGCCAGACAATGTTCAAAAAATACCTTAAAGGCACAGGTGTGAGTAGTGCAGACACTGTACCATGGCTGACTCTCCAGGCCGCAAACGGGTTAGAAATCCCATACATTGGCTATGCCATTGTGGACTGTGTGATAGGAAGTATGGTGGTACCAGGGAAAGGCATAGTAATTGTGAAGGATTATTGTCTAGGCCCAAATAAGGGGATATTGGGAATGAACATAATCAGGTCAGTCTGGTCCACTCTCACACAGGGCAGCCACCCGGGTCTCCTGGCATTCCAGACCACCATGCCAACAACGGAGGGGAGAGTCTGGTCCAGAGCCTTTGTTGACTGCCAGCGGGTCACAGCCAGATGCCAAGCCCCACGCTACGAAGGAGTCGCTAAGCTGCCACACCAGTCCCCAGTCGTCATTCCACCACAATCTGAAATCGTGTTGTGGATGCAGGTAACAAACGGCCCCCCTAATTCGTCTTGTGATGTTCTTTTAGAACCCATATCGGACGGCGAGTGTGAGTGGCAAATAGGAAGGACCTTAGCGACCGTGACTGGGGGAAGCGTTCCGTGCCGGGTCTGTAATCCTAATCCATACCCGGTGGAAGTACCCAAGAGGCGGCCCCTTGCCAGAGTCACTGAAATAGATGGCGCTGACGTACAGGGACAGAATGAGCTGGTGCTTAACCCCGTGGCCCCTGACGTAGTGGAAGTAGCTGTGAGGCATGTGGGAATGACAGTCACACAAGATGAGGCCCCCCACCCAGTCCTGACACTTCAGGGTGAAGGCCTTACGCCTGAACAGCAAGACAAAATGACACAAATGCTAAATGCATGGAGACATGTATTCTCCTCTCATGAGGAGGATTTTGGACGGACGGGGGTGATAAAACATCAAATCCCCACCGGTTCTGCTGCCCCCAGCCGTGAACGGTACCGCCCAGTTCCACCTAGCCTGTACAAGGAACTTCAGACCCTCCTCAAGAATATGCTGGACAGTGGAGTGGTAAAAGAGAGCTCCAGCCCATGGGCAGCCCCAATTGTATTGGTGCGCAAAAAGGATGACAGCTGGAGGTTCTGCGTCGACTATAGGAGGCTCAACGCCCTCACCCACAAAGACGCATATCCCCTGCCTCGCATTGAAGAGTCACTCACCGGGCTAAAAGCAGCCAGGTGGTACTCTACACTGGATTTGGCAAGTGGATACTGGCAGGTGGAGGTGGATGCTGCAGATCAGGAGAAGACTGCATTCACGACCCCGTTTGGACTGTACGAGTTCAAGCGGATGCCGTTTGGACTATGCAATGCCCCTGCCACCTTTCTGCGGCTCATGCAGCAGTGCCTGGGTAACCTTGTTAATGACTTTCTCCTAATCTACCTTGATGATGTCGTGGTGTTTTCCCCAGATTTTCAGAGCCACATGCAGCACCTGGAGGACGTTTTCCAAAGGTTGAACCAACATGGCCTCAAACTACAACCCAAGAAGTGCCACCTGTTCAGACGACACGTAACCTATTTGCACCACGTTATCAGTGAGAACAGGGTGGCTACTGACCCAGCCAAGACTGACGCTGTTCGAGACTGGCCCATACCACAAACAGTAAGTCAAGTAAAGTCATTTCTGGGCTTTGCAGGATACTACCGCATGTTTATCCCGGGCTTTTCAAAAATTGCTAGGCCTCTCCATGCCCTGACCCGTAACACTGCATTAGAGAGGAAATCCACACAGGTGGTGTGGACTAAGGAATGCCAAGAAGCTTTCGATTCACTTAAACTTGCCCTGCTGGACGCTCCCATTTTGGCACACGCAGACTTTACTCAGCCATTTAGGTTGTATACCGATGCAAGTTTTGATGGGCTCGGGGCAGTGCTAGCCCAAATCCAGGATGGGAAGGAAAGGGTAGTTGCTTATGCCAGCAGAAGTCTCCAAGCCTCTGAACAAAATGACCAAAAGTATAGTTCTTTTAAATTGGAACTGCTGGCCTTGAAGTGGGCGGTAACTGAAAAGTTCAAGGATTATCTGTACGGGTCAGAGTTCACAATCTTCACTGACAATAACCCCCTGGTGCATCTTGAGACTGCGCGCCTAGGGGCCACTGAACAGAGATGGGTGGCCCAGCTGGCCAACTTCAGGTATACAATCAAATACCCAAGTTGGTGTCCCAAGTTCGCAACTTGGGACACCCAAGTTGCGAACGGACTTTAGCTATTGTAAGACAGCGTTGTTACTGGCCAGGAATGGCTCGGGACATTAAGGGCTGGACAAAATCATGTCACCAGTGTGTCTGCAATAGAGCTGGCCCTTCCGGAAGGCCCCCACTGCACCCAGTTAGCACCTCGTACCCTTTTGTCCCTTGGGCGCCCAGACGATCGCTACCAATATATACTTGTGATGACTGATCTATTTTCAAAGTATGCTGTTGCAGTGCCCACAAAGGACCAGTCAGCTGAGACTACAGTGAAAGCCCTTTACACTCACCTGATCCACACGTTCGGCTGTCCGGAGCGTATATTGTCCGATCGTGGGGCTGCCTTTGAATCTGCACTCATGGCCCAGCTCTGCCAACTCTACGGGTGTAAGAAGAGCCGCACTACAGCATATCATCCGCAAGGTAACGGGGCTTGCGAAAGATTCAATCAAACACTAATACGACTCTTGAGCTCCCTGACAGAAACTCGCCAGACCCAATGGCCCACTAGCCTCCCCACACTGGTGCAAGCCTATAACAATACAGTGCACAGTACTACAGGGATTACGCCACACTACCTGGTATTTGGACGGCACGCGAGGCTCCCTGTAGACTGGATGACTGGCTTGGGAACCACCGGAGAGAACCACACTCTAGACGGATGGGTAAAACAACACCATGAGGCCCTAAATCTTGCGTACCAGATAGCAAAGGCACAGTCCAGACGCAAGAGGGAGCAAGATGAGGCCTGGTATAATCTTAAAGCCAAACTTGGACCACTACTACCAGGTGAGCGTGTCCTAATCCGTGTCTTCCGCAAGGGGTCGAGGGGAAAGCTAACACCAAAATGGGGCCCGGAGCCATTTGTGGTGGTGAGGAGACTCCAGGAAGACCACCCGACCTACATGGTTCGACCGAAAGGGAGAGAAGCACCTAGCCGTACGGTTCACCGGAATAATCTCCGTCTTTGCCCAATTGACTTTGTGCAGGAAAGGCAGCAACCGGCAGCACCACAACTATCAATTGGACACCCCCCCCCCCCCCCCCACACTTTGGCTCCCCCGCAACGAAGCGCCCCAGCCAGTAAGCCCACCTGACCCAAGAAATGGCCCAGTTCCCCCTGTGAGACGTTCCCACCGGTCAAATATTGGCAGGCCCCCTGTTCGGTATCAAAGGTAATTGGCCGGGACGACCAACTATAGAGGTGGGGGGTAAATGTCAAACATAGATTTTAGCCTGGGACTCCAAATCTAAAGCCAGTTTTATTTGTGTGTAGTGTTTTTAGTGTGACCTTGTTTTTAGTAGTTTTATTTACTGACTTTGGCTTGAGCCTGGGACAGTCCTGATTGATAGCCCTCCCCCTCATGATTGATTGGTCGGACTGGAGGACTTTCCCCTTTTTAAAACCCGGGCAGAGGGACTGAGGGAAAGGAAATCGGAAGCGTTACGGGGGACGAGGACAGAGGACAAGCGGAAACAAGGACCAGCATGCACCAGGACCGGCACGCACCAGGACCAGCACGCACCAGGACCAGCACGCCCAGCAGGCGCCAGGACCAGCACCGGCACGCACGAGGAGCAGCACGCAGAGCAAGAAGAGACCTGCAGAGCCCACATACCACGCCCCGTAAAGCTGAGTATGCAGCTGCATTGGCGTGGCGCATCAGGCCCCAGCCCAAGCGGCCCAGCGGACCCGGCCCAGCGGAGCAGCGGACCCGCCCAGCGGAGCAGCGGACCCGGCCCAGCGGAGCAGCGGACCCGGCCCAGCGGACCAGGCCCAGCCCAAGCCCCAGCAGAGCGGAGCAGTGCGCGCCAGGCCCAGCCCGAGCCCCAGCAGAGCGGAGCAGTGCGCGCCAGGCCCAGCCCGAGCCCCAGCAGAGCAGAGCAGTGCGCGCCAGGCCCAGCCCGAGCCCCAGCAGAGCGAAGCAGTGCGCGCCAGGCCCAGCCCGGGCCCCAGCAGAGAGCGGCCCCAGCACCCTTTTTTTGACCAGGCCTTAAGACCTTTTTGTCTTATTTTAAACTCTTAATTGGCCATTTTAATTAGCACCATAGGCCATTTTATAATTATATTTATTAATAAAAGTATCTGAAGTCCAAGCCTGTGCACATTCATTTTTAAACAGTTACTGGTTGCTCCACACCTGACACATATACCCCATCAATGTTACACGTTGCGTGTAAATCACGTGATCTGAAAGCCCTCCCACGCTGAGGAGATACTTTTTTTTTAATTATATATATATATTTTTTTTTTTATTAAGTGACACAAAGACAGACAAGATTGATACATAGACATACAAAAGTGACACATAGACACATAGACAAACAAAAGTGAGACATAGACATGAAAGTGATTGGTACAACAACAGAAAAACATTGAAGCAGCGACAAAACATGGGTACATACAAAGAAATACAAATATTAAGACAACATGAAACATTACCATATGGGTGGGAGGCGAGATAGGGGAGATACTATTTGTGATGGAAAAGCACCCATTCTCGGCCGTGCCGTGCCATGCCGTGCCGTACCGAACCGTAACGTGACTATGGAAAAGCGGCATATGTTCCAGGTGCACTGATTAGTCAAGAGAGCAGGCATTGGTTGAAAGTCAGATGAGGCCCGGGACAACAAAGCATAATTTTAAAATCACCTAAAAACACTCATATGATAAAAACAATTAAAACACTCATATGATAAAACAAATAAAACCATGCAAAAAACCCACACTATAAATACTATAAAATACGTGTCTGATTACATTAGCATTCCTCCATAGTATCCGCTTGGTTCGGACCATGAATCTTGTCCGCTCCGGTCTGGACCAGTGCAAAACCGTGCACACTGTACTGCAGACACATCTCAGGTAGAAAAAAAGCAAGAAATACAAAAATTGTAAAGCACAAAACAACTGTTTCTGAACTACTTAGGACTTGATGCTGTTTTCCAGCGCATTCAAAAGTGAACCATGTTTCTAAGACGGTTGCTAAGGCAAGCTGGCGTCTCCCCTGTGAATGAAGCCATCTGATTGGTCTATCCTTATATTACTCTATCTGGATTTTCAAAGACAATGATACAAGGATCACAAAGAACAAAAATGATGAGTGCGACACAAACAGTTACTGAGCTAGAGGAGTTTACTTTTACATGTAAGTCAAGTCAGAGATAGTTGGAGCAAAACTTCACCATGAGCACTTCCCTATTGGGCTTCATTGAGCCAGCGGGTTAGAATTGAGCAAACAGGTTAGCATTGTCCATCTGTTTACAGTCTATGGTCGTGAATGATATAATCTAGTGTTGATGTAGCATCTAAAGTTTCGTCAGTGTAATGGACCAGATTATCAACACAAACTATTTCCATTGTGATTCACTCACTAAACCTGCTCTCGCGGGCCATTGCACAAGCGCGCACCACACCTGCGCAGGTACGGCCCGTGCGCGTCACCGCAGCAACGGGGGAGCGGCTCAGCAAGGAACTATGGCAACGGGGCGTGGCTTTGTGCAGCGTGAGGCAGAGTCCAGGCACTGCGTCACCTGCTCAGTACTATCACGCAGTAACTACCGTAGTACTGCTACGACTACTATTACTACTACTTCTACAACTACTATTACTGCTGCTGCTGCTGCTAGAACTAAGTACAACGGATAATCCTGTTATTACTATTAGTACTTCTGATTGGAAGAGGGGAAAGTCAAATCAACTGGTAAGTAAAGTTTTGACCTGGTTCAGTCCTGGTTTAGACCTGGTTCTGACCTGGTTTAGACCTAGGTTCAGTCATGGCTTACACCTGAGCAAGTTTACACCTAGTTACCTGGTCCAGTCCTGGTTTAGACCTGGTTTACACCCGGTCCAGTTCTGGGGTAGACCTGCTTTAGTCCTTTATTAGAACTGTTTTGGGTTATGGGGATCAGGAAGTGCAGGTGTTTGGTCCCGCACCCTGCACTCGCCCGGTTCATATTGTTATTGTTTATTATACAAGCAAGAAAGTCCTGCTCGAATCTCTTTTTGAGGACATGTGGTTAGACAATGCAGCCTCGCTACTGTCAAGCTGCCCCAGGGCAATTGTGGCTACAGCGTCTTCCAGAGTAGGGAGTAATGAATAAGGGTCTTGAGTGTAGATCAAACAGACAAATGCATGGTTGGATAGGGGACTGGATGAACCAAACCCGTATGTGAAGTCTTATAGTAATAGTACTAATAATACTAGTAATAGCAGTAGGTCAGCTGAGGGACATCAGAGAGAATCGATAATAACAAGAGGCTAAATTCCGTTGCAGTTGTGACAACAGCGGCTAGATGGTGCTTTCACCATTTTGGACTTAACCAGAGACGGTTACCCTAGCTGCATACTTTACAGCAATAACATTATGTCTGATAAAAATGGAAACAATGAAGCCAGTGCTCTGAATAAACTGCAGTCAAATTAAAAATAATCAACTAGCCTTTCATAGATTCACAATGATCCAGAGAGGGATGGTGTCATAAAAGTACTCACCCAACATGGATAATACTCAAAGAAAAGCATATACATTGTTTTTTGGTTCTCTGTATATACATGAAATTGAAAAGAGTACCGTAGATCCTTATCTTTCTGCTTGACACTGGTACATTAAGAACAGCCGGTGACTCACTTCTTACAGTAATAAGAAGTTTTGTGCTACATTCTTCAATATTACAATGCGTCCTCTGCCTCCTGGGGTAGTTCAGCCTCGTGCTGTTCTCTATTGACTCGTGGGACGATGACTGTGGTCCAGGTCCAGATCGCGTATCAGAAGTGATGCGATGCTGTGCTGTGTTTTGCCCTGCTGCTTGTGTTGCAACCAGTCGGCCCTTTTGTCTCTTGTGCCCACTATTGCCGCTTTTCCACAGTAAAACTATTAGTAAACTATTTAATTTCCTTAAACCGATTCTGTTATGGAACCTGTAGCTTACCTATATTCTCTGACAGTTGTGTTGCGTTCAGTCCAAGATGGAGGCGTGGATGCGTTTGTTGTCACGGTTTGTTGTCACGGTTTGTTGTCACGGTTTGTTGTCACGGTTTGTTGTCACGGTTTGTTGTCACGGTTTGTTGTCAAAGACTTCCTCGACCTGGTTGAGGTTGCAGTATGTTTCCGGGCCCACGCAGGAACATGGACATACGTTGGGCCTTGTTGTAACTTATGGCCTTTCAGTATGTAATCTGGAAGTTTGTGATGATGCTCCAGTGCGTCATTGTCTGGTAATTAACTCAGCCGCTGCCTTTGACCATTGTCAATTGGCCGTTTATTATGGCCGTTTATTGGGCGGTCGACTGTGATATGGAAGATTCTGTTTCCTCCACAGTCCCCCTGTCGTGTTGGGTGCCGCAAGGGTCTATCCTTGGGCCACTCCTGTTTTTCTTGTATCTGCTGCCATGAGGAGCTATCCTCCGGAGGTTTGGGGTGTCATTCCACCTGTACGCAGATGACAGCCAAATCTATATGCCCCTTAAGCGTAACAATAACTTTTGCAGCACCCAACTTCTGGAGTGCATATCTGAAATGTGGATGGCAGCAAACTTTTTACATTTCAATGAAAAAAAGAGCGAAGTTCTGCTGGTCAGGCCCAGCAATGGTAGTAGTAGCTCTGTGAACCTGGGACCCCCAACAATATTTGTTAAGCCCATTGTTTCAAACCTTGGAGTGAAAATGGATGCTGATTGTAAATTTGAAAAACAAATAAATGCAGTGCTGCAGTCCAGTTTTTTCCATTTAAGGCAACTTGCTAAAATAAAGTCCTCCCTTTCATGGCAAAATTTTGAAATTTTGATTCACGCCTTTGTTACGACTCGGCGTGACTATTGTAACGCCTTGCACACAGGTATCAGCCAGTCCTCACTCACTCGTCTGCAGCTGGTACAGAACGCTGCGACGCATCTGCTAACTGGTACTCGGAAGTATGACCATATCTCTCCGGTCCTGTCATCCCTTCGTTGGCTTCCTGTTCGCTACCATATTGATTTTAAAGTCCTTTTGTTTGTCTATAAAAGCCTGAATGGCCTTGCTCCGCGTTATCTGTCTGACCTACTGACTTCATTTCATATGCTCCATCACGGTCTCTGAGGTCGGAAGATCAAGTTCTGCTCTACAGTAGGTTCCTCCAACTAAACGGAAACTCAGAGGAGATCAAGCTTTTTTGGTTGTTGGTCCTAAATTATGGAATGAGCTGCCCCTGTATGTTAGACTGTCTGATTCACTTCCTGTTTTTAAGTCTCGTCTTACAATACAATACAATGTATTCTTGTATAGCCCAAAATCACAACAGTAGTAATCTCAGAGGCTGTTAAAGTGTCCTGGATCATCACCACAGTCCTGTTTGTTAGACACTAACTGTCCAACAGATCCTCCTGCCTTGGCAAGGAAAATTTCATAAAAAAACAAAAAACCCAGACGGAAAAAAGTGAGGAATCCCGGGGAGACCCACATACTGAGAGAGGGATCCGCTCCACACGGACGGGCTATAGATCCAGGACCTAAGCTACAGAACGTGGACCAGGAAACAGACAATGGGACAACAGGTGAATAGCAACGAACATACTACAGTCAAAATCCTAATAATGCGGACAGATAAGGTAAGAAGGAGGAGAGGATTGTGCTCAAGTTACCATTCTTCTCCCAGCAAACTGACTCCTTACGTAGCTGAACTGACAGTCCAAGATTGTTAGCCTTCCCTGAGTTTTACCTTCCTAACCTTATGCTAAACTAAAGAGGACAGTTTTAGCCTAGCCCGGTCCGCTGAAGATGCAGCGGACCGGGTTCCATGCAAGCAGGCTTGTATGGGTCTTAAGACTCACTTGTTGATTTTCTATAGATTTTTTGCTGTATATAGTGTGTTTTTTGCCACTGCTTTGTATTATCCAATTGTATATTTTTGTTTGTCTTTTTATGTACAGCACTTTGGTCAACCTTGTTTTTATTAGTGCTTTATAAATAAACTGGACTGGGACGTTCTGATGAGTTTGGGGTCATATTGTCCCTCCAGGTCTAGGGTGTCCTCCATCTTGTCCTTTGGTCCTTTTGGTCGTTCCCCAAAGTTGTGAAGTGTTTATGAGAGCATAAACTGAGCGGTAAATCCAGACCTAAAAGAAAGAGGGGTACATGCTCTGGGAGAACTACGACCACCCCCAATGCAAACGGCTCAAGCTTCGGTCATTGGTTTGCCTTTTGCTGAGGAGTGCCCCCAAAGAGTCGCCTAGGAACGTGACCGAAAGTCTACTCCAGATCCACAAAACACATGTGACCGAGTTAAACTCCCATGACCCTCTGTTTTCTTCCCTCAGTGTGACACTGCTGGACCACAGCTGCCCCAGGGCAGAAGACGCAGGAGTGACTATCAACATGACCGACACTGCGAGCGAATACACACCCAACACAGCCGACACTGAGAACGAATACACACCCAACACAGCCGACACTGAGAGCGAATACACACCCAACACAGCCGACACTGAGAGTGAATACACACCCAACATGGCCGACGTCGCTGAGGAAGAGTCATTACCACCAGGTGAGCGGACCATGTGACGCAGCCGCTGTTTGAGAGCTGACGGCACCTGAGACAGAGGCTGTAGCAGGAGTGAACTAAGTGCTGATGCCCGATTGGAAGAAGTCGATAAGAGCTATCTCACACAATGAGGATTATTAATCATTCACATTAAATAAACATTCAAATCTACATATACATAAATATGAAAATAAATAGATAAAAAAATCGATTTGTTTCTAACACGTCCGATATTCAAAAAAGAATAAAAGTACTTAAAAACTTAAATAAAAAATGATTAAAATAATAAATAGCTACAGTGCATTAAAAAGAGTAAATATAGCACTTCCGTTGACAATTAAACTGGGCATGGACGTGTGAAAATTGCGCTAGGGCACTGGCCTTATCATATCCCTAGACCCGAGATCCATATTCTGCCAAAAAAAACGTATAATATGTTGCTTTAATGAGTGGGGACAGGACTAACAAGAGCAGATACGGGCTACAAAACTACCCGGTGTCATGGTGTGGATTTTATTTCTGTATTTGGTTTTATTTTGCCATTAGTTACAATACAATACAATACAATTTATTCTTGTATAGCCCTAGGTCACAACAGAAGTCATCTCAGAGGACTTAACAAAACCATTGAAATCACCAACACAGGTCAGAGAATCAACAGTTAAAACACATGAAAAATATAAAGCACACACAGAAGAAAATGTCCATACATGTTGTAGAATGCTAAAGTGTCCTGATCATCACCAATCCTTTCTGTTGGACACTAACTGCCCAACAACCCTCCTGCATCGACAAGGAAAACCTCTTAAAAAACCCAGTGGGAAAAAGTGAGAAACCTTGGGGAGAACTAGGGAAACCCACAGGGAGGGAGACCCATATGAGAAAGGGATCCGCTCCTCCGGACGGACAGGCTAATGATCTAGGACCTAAGCTAGCTACAGAACATGGACCAGTGGCCGCTGAACGTGGACAGGTCCGGTGCAGGACTGAAGCACTCCCAGGCGGGTCGGGCGGGGCAGTCCGCAGGTGTAGATGGAGGAGGCCAGGTTCAGAGATCCCGTCATCATACCATGAAACAGACAATGGGACAACAGGTGAATAGCAATGAACAAACTACAGTCAAAATCCTAAAAATGCTAAACAGATAAAGGAGGAGAGGATAGTGCTCAAGTTACCATACTTCTCCCAGCAAACTGACTCCCTATGCAGCATGACTGACAGTCTGAGGAGTTTAGCCTTCCCCGAGTCTTACCTTCCTAGCCATATGCTAAACTAAAGAGGACTGTTTTAAACCTAGCCTTGAATAAAGAGAGCGTATCTGTTCTGTGGGTTTCATTTCAGTTTTGCTTCCTGTCCTGTTCCCTGTTGATTGTCTGCCCCGCCCTAACGTGTTTCACCTGTGTCTGTGTGTGTCTGTATGTACTCTGTGCTCCTCTCCCCTTGTTGCTGGTCCATTGTATTGTTTCGGTCTTTGTCTGTGTTCATAGTTCCTTGTTCAGTTTGGATTTTGATTTTGTTTTTACCTTGGACATTATCATAAAATCATTATTTTGCATTCTCGCATTTTGAGTCCTCCTCCTTCCCACCCCATGACACCCGGACCCAGAAATGAAAGAGGACGCACCGGCTGACGAAGTGGAGCTAACAGCGGAACAACATGGCGACCGTACCATTAGCATAGACTTGATTTGAGACGCAATGAAAGATGCCATGACCTCGTTTCACACTGAAATCAAGAAGGACCTGGAAAACTTCCGCTCTGAAATGAAGAAACAAACGGGGGAGCTGGTGACTGAAATGAGTCAAAAACTTAATGATACCAACATACGAGTGGGTGCGGTGGAGGAGTAGATACAACAGGGTGAGGGTTACATGGCTGAGTCCGAGCGATGGGATATCGGAGTGAAGAACAGGCTCGTACAACTACTACAGAGTCAGCAGGCTCTCCAGGACAATGTCTCGGACCTGGAGGGCCGTGCGAGGCAATACAATATCAGACTGTACGGCTCCGAGGGCAGATCCATGGTTGCATTTGTCAATAACCTTATCAAGAGCGAGCTTGGAGGAGACTCCCCCATGGACAAAAACCTTGACATCGAGCTTGCCACCACCTGCTAGTGCCCCGCCGCGTTCAATAATAGTTCGCTTTCTCAGTTTTTCAAAGAGACCATACTCCACACAGCTTGGAAGAAGATGGTACAAATCCAGGGTAAGCAAGTGTACTTTGACCACGATTACTGGAGGTGCAGAAAAGAAGGAAGGAGTACATCCTTTCAAACGCGCATTGAAAGAGAAGATAATTCGTTTCCAAACTCCACTCACCAAGATGCGTGTCTTCTACACGTCGGGAAGCGTCCTCTACGACAGTGCTATCCAAGCCGCTGAGGATCTGCGGAAGCGGGGCATGGACGTGGACTGAGTGCCTGTTGCCGCAAGGAGCAACCTGACTAGGGAGGAGACGCTGGCACAGCTGTTGCCATGGGAAACGCAGGTTTCCGGGAAAGTATCCGCGAAAAGCTCAAGGTATTCCGGAGAGAGGGAAATGAGACTGAGTAAGATACACTCCTTCACCCGGTGATAGTTGTTGTCTTGATTCAAAACTGTTTCGTAGCTTGGTCTAAACCCGCTATACACAAGGGCCAGTGCCCACAGGACAAACTAGCGTCACCGCACCACGTTTTACCTTTTATTTTCCTACAGCGGTTTCTTTTCGTCTTTTCTGCCAGTTTTGGCGAGGGGATGAAATGGGCTTCTCCCTTTTCATCTTAACTCATCTATCTAATTCGGAACATGACAATCAGAAGAAAATGGGGTTCTAAAATACATTCTATTCATCACACAGAAGTGGCAAAAAACGAGGAGTGGCTATCCTAATACCCAACAGAATTAAATTAAAGTTAATATCTGAAAAACAGGAAGATACATTTTGGTAAATGGTAAAATATACCAAAAACCCTTCACATCGCTTAATGTATATGCACCTCCTGGGCGGCACAGTGGCTGAGTGGATAGCACTCTTGCCTCTCAGCAAAAAGGTCCTGGGTTCGAATCCCGGTTTCCTCTGGATACTCCGGTTTCCCCTACAACTAAAAACATGCACAATAGATCTGGCGTGTGCCTCCTGTACTGGCGCCCCTGCTCCTATCTCTGTGTGGAGTGAGAGACAAATGCCCAAAAATAACAATTGTAACCGCTTGGAGACTCTGATCTGCAGTGAAAAGGCGGTATATAAATAACGATTACTGCTACTACTTCTGGAAGTGACACAATATCTTTCAAGAATATATTTAACCTAATCAAGCCTGAATGTCATGGATCTTTAATTTGTGCTGGAGACTTCAACCTTTTATTAAACACCCGATTAGACACAGCAAATACTGGTCGGAAACCGACAGCCACAGAGAAACAAGTTAAGAGAATGCTTCCAGCTCATCGATGTATAGCGCTCAATGCATGGATCAGCCCCTGGGTTTACTTTTTACTCTGCATGCCACTCTGCAAACTCAAGAATAGACTACTGTTTTACAAATAACAACAATCTACATTGTTGTGGCGACTTAATACCGGTATGCTGAATGACTCAACATTTATAAAGACTATGGCATCAGATTTTTCCTTGTACTTAAAAGAAAACAACAATGGAGAAACAAGTCCTAGTATTGTATGGGATGCAGCCAAAGCTGTCCTCAGAGGAAAAATTATTTCAATATCAGCTAGGCTTAAAAAACAGAAAACACAAAAACTCACATTTGCAAGTATAACTGAAAATGCTTGAAGAAACCCAATTGACAGACAGTACAGCTGTCACACAACAAATTTGATCGACTCAACAAGAAATTGATATTAGGAGAAGAGGTGGAGAAAAAAATACGAATATGAAAAGGAGATATCATGAAACGTCAAAGGTATCAAAATTACTGGCTTGGCGACTCAAAAAGCAACAGACCAAAAATACAATCCAAGAGATCCAGACAGCCGTAAAGTTGTAACAAGTCTGGATGACATACAAAGCGCATTTGAGAAATATTATACATCCTTATATAGTCAGTCTGGTTCAATTGATGACAATGCCACTAATGCCACTATTTTCTACATTCTTTGGATCTCCCCTCTCTTGGCCGGGATGCAAATGAAAAGTTGACCTTGCCCATAACACAAATGGAAATAGATAAAGCCATATCTAATCTTAATTCTAACAAGTCACCAGGCACTGAATGGTATAAGAAAATGAGGGAAGATCTAGTACCCATTTTGGAAATCAGTTTCAATTACTGTACTGTAAAGGGTGGCCCTATCCCCCTGTCATGGGGAGAGGCCTTCCTATCTGTGATACCTAAAGATGGGAATGACAGAACAGACTGTAAATCATACCGTCCAATTAGTGTCCTAAACACAAACTATAAATTATACATGACTATTTTAGTTAAAAGAATGGACACGGTGATGCCATCGCTCCATGATGAGGATCAAACTGGATTCTTTAAAAAAAAAAAGCAGCGAACCCACGACAAAATAAGAAGAACTTTGCACGTTATCGAACAACTTAATACAAAAAACGAAAAGCATTTATTCTCAGCCTAGACGCCGAAAAGGCTTTCGACTCCGTTCAATGGGATTTTCTGTACTCTCTATTGAAAAGATTTGGATTCAGTAGTGATTTCATAAAATGCATTCAAGCTCTCTACTGCTCCACCACAGCCAAAATAAATAAATGGGAGTCTTTCCAACCTCATTCAGCTCCAGTGGGGCTGTCGCCAGGGCTGCCCCGAAAGCCCAAATTTATTTAATCTTTTTATTGAGCCCTTAGCCCAAGCAATAAGGCAGGAGACTGTTATAGAAATATATACCCCATGAAGGAGGAAACTCAAAGGTCCTTTGTCTGGTCAAAAGCGTAAGTTTATTGTTAACGCACAGTGCGGAGAGTCAGCATATGCACACAAAGGCAGCATGCTCAGCTCTGAAGCAGAGCTCCGAGTTTCCTGTATACAGACACACACGAAAGA